GGGTCCTCGGGGGGCAATCCGCGTCGTGTGCTGCCCTGACGGGGCCTGCCGGGGGTACTGCGGGGTGGGCCTCCCCCGGGGCTGCCGCTGCCTGAGGTGGCACCGGCAGGGAGCTGGGGTTGGGAGATGCCCGGAAACGGTCAGCTGGCGCGGGGGTCTGTCAGCGGCGCGGGGCAGCCAGCGCAGCGGGATTTAGCTGCCTTGGGGCCTTGCAGGGCGGGTGAAGAGCGCGGTTATGGCCCTGGAGGAGGAGTCTGAGGGGAGCTTTAAGAAAGGCTTGAGGAGGAATAAGCACGGGTGTATTTTAGAGCAAGGGAAGGGGGTTAATGGCAGCGAAAAGGTAACCTTGAAACGCCCAAGTCATTTCTGAGTTGCAAATCCAGCAAGGATTGTAAAGTCTGGAGGGTAAATGTAGCAATACAGGAAGGCTAGTGGAAAGGAATCTGATAAATGCTTAGTGGAAAACTTAAAAACTAACAGCAAATATTCTCTTGAATACATGTGGAGAAGGAACCTGCAAGCGAGTTAGCAGACCTGTGTTAAAAGAAGTCACGTAGTTGAGACCATTAGTAGCTTTGAAGCTGAAGGAGCTCTTCACGTTTGTGTCATGTCGAGGAAACTAGGGAGGTTCCTACGTTGCGTCCTTTCTTATGGGAGATATGTAAGAGGGTCTGTATGGACTCAAGTGGCAGCAAGAAGGGGTTAAGGAGTAGGCACACAGTAATAAGTTGCTAAAACTGGCTAGTGTGTACATAGCAACTCACCAGTGACTCAGGAATGTAGCAGTTTACCTACCCAGCCTCCTGTAAAACCACTTCATCTGAGAACTTGGAGGCGGCATGCATGATGCCGTTTCATTTTTTTTTAAAGGCTTCAGAAAGAAGCGGATCTACAGGCTGACCACTGCACCAGGGAAACCAGTAGAAACCATTTAAAATAACACAGCTAGCGAGGAGAGTTGCATGGCTTTTACTTGAAAGTATTCCTCTCTGGCAGACTACTACGTCTTGGAGTACGTTTGACAAGGATTGGGTATGGATATGATGGCTAGAACTGGTACATAGAATATAATCTGTATAGTTTCCAAAGAAACTCTCAACATACAGAGGTATCAAAGGCCTTTAAGGAAATCCAGTATATGTGGAATAAAAGGGAGCATCCTTTGGTAGATAAATAACTGACTAAAAAGAAGAGTGTGTTGTCATCTGCCACACTGATAGATGGAGCTGTTCTGGGTGGGATCTTTATTCAATATGTTCAGGAGTAACTGAGGGAAAACAGGGTGAATGGTCAGATGACGTTTGCTGGTTACACTAGCCAATTCCCGCAGTAAGTCAGGCCAGTGAAGACTTGCAGAAGCACCTTACAGTCTGAATGACTGGGTTGTATCACCCTGTCATGGCCAGATCATGAGTGCTGTGTGACGGTCAGATGAAATCCAGAGTAGATACCTATGTCCATGAGGAAGAGCCACTTTAACTTTGCATCATTTAACACATAAAATGTATGTACTCTAAGCTGACTGGTGGTGCTCAGGAGCAAGATAAATCGGTCATAACACATTTTTGTGAAAATATCAGCTTAGCACTTAGCAGCAGCTCATAAAGGGTAAACAATGGTCAGAATACCTAGAAAAGAATTAGAGATTAAAAAAGGGGGTCTGTTTTTGTTATTATAATCTATGCAATTTATGCTTGCAATTTGAATGTTGTATGCAGTTATATAATTCTTCAGATGGGGAAGGAATCTAGTAGAATGAACTGAAAAGGTTTAGAAAAAGACAACACAGACTAAAGGAAGAAAAAAAGACCTAGCTTCTGCAGAGGGATCAACTAAGCAGGACTCTGCATTGGAATGGTAGTAACTGAGGGGAAATAAAAGCTGTCCATGTCAAAGGGAAGGTCCTTGTATAAAATGGAGGGAAGTGCCCACCACTTTCAGATATCCTCCTGAAGAAGGCACGATTCTGCTTTATTTGGGCAGAAATTACTTACTTTATTAATTTTGAGATAGCACTTCATCCTGAAAGACAATAGACTGAAGGCTCAGCGGAAGCTGGCACCTGCCTGCACTTTTTCACTTTTCGAGCCCCTTTGAAAGGTGCCAAGGCCCTGCGGTCGATTCTTTCAGTACTTGGCACTGGTGACATTAGTGGCTTTCTCTACATTGCAGCATCTTACTGGGTGGCACTGGGTGCCTAATGTCACAGCTTACTACTGTGACATTAGGCATTTTGTGGATTTAACAAGCATGGTGTGCTCTGCAGTTCTTTTAAAATTAATTAAATAAATAAAAATACTTTCTTGTGTGTATTATGCCCAAAATGTTTTCTTGCTAGTGTGTGTTTGTGTGTCTCTTCACTCATAAGTCAGTCTTGCAGTTTTCTTTGTAGCTTTTACCATGTTCCAGAATGTCTCATCAGTCTGAATGAAGCATTTAATTTGCAGTAACTGTGAATGGTTTACCAAGTAAAATGCAATTAGTGACTTTTCAGGAAAAGATTAATCTTATCTGGTGAGTAAGAACCAGAATGTTGAAGTCCTCTGTAAGTGGTACCTGTTAATTTCAGCCATTTAAAGCTTACTGCCCCCCTTTTTTTTCCCCCCAGGGTTGATAAAGATAGGAGTGGAATAATATCTGATAATGAACTTCAGCAGGCATTATCCAATGGTAAGTCTGTAAATGAGCAGTGAGGTACTTGGTTGTAAACTTAATGTTAAATTTCATGTGAGACTGGTTACTTGATGCCCTAATTCTTTGATTTGGGATGGGGGGGGGCAGGGAGAATGTTCCTGCCACTGATTAATGCTATTTAATCTACAGCAAAAGGCTGAAAGGGAGAAAAAAAAGTGGGCAAGCCTCCTGATTTTATGTTACTGATTTTTTTTTTTTTTTTCCTGAGCCCAGTGTTCCTGGGTTGTTGGTTTTTTTTATTTCAAGGGAAGTTTTCTGGGTTTGGTGCATGTTAGTAATAATGCATCATAACTGAGTACCTATTGTAAACATTACTGATTTGTATTCTGGGAAATGAAGGCATGCACATCCCTTTATTTTTTCCAGCTCTGCTTTCTAGAAAACATAAAAGTTAGTTTCTATATTCCTCTCTCATCACTACTGAACCTTTGTTTTTTTAACCAGGATCATAACTTGGTTGTATAACCTGGACAAAGATCAATGTTTACAACCAGCCTTTTTACTGCACATAAAATCTTTTCATACAGTATGGTGCAGGAATTGAAGATGGCAAGTTTGTTTTTTTTTCCCATATGTGTGTTGTTTGGGTTTTTTTTCCCTAACAAAGTAGAAAGATACACTCTAGATCTAGTATTAAAACTTTCTAGTTGTCTCTCAGTTCCCTGTCACAATGCTTAAAGAGTGTCTACAGTATGGTCAAATAACTCATGGAAGCAAAATAAAAACAAAAAAATGTTTCCAGTAGCCTATTTTTACTTTCCTCTGTTGACTTAGGGTGGTGTAGGGTTGTATTTTGTGAGGTTTTTTTCCACATGGAAATCTGAAAAAGTGCATATTGAAGCTGTTTGTGCACCTTTGAGTCCGTATCAAGTTCCCCTTCTCCCAAGGTTTAATTTCTTCTTCCTGTGCTTTGTGATTGAGAGGGGCTTAAACTGATGTTTCGAGCTGCAATGCACAGACTGAATGGCTTCTTTTCGTCAGTAATCACCCGACTCGATATCAGTTTGGATAGCTCTATTTAGTAAAATTGTGGTCTTGTAACTAAATTGGGTTTACTAGAATATTTGTTTAATAATATATCTGATAAATTAAAAGCAATATATTGTAGCTGTTGCACCTGATCCATAACTAAAATACTATTTCAAATAGCAACTTCAGTAAAAGCCAAGTTAAATTGATTGAGTCACTCTTTTCATTTAAGATTCCGATGCTGTTTATAATGCTGTGGGAACCTGGCTTTACCTGCCATTTCTGTCCTAGCACTTCATATATCTTAAATATCTTCTTGTCTGATTAAATTAAGGGCAACAGGTAGTGATGAATATCTGAACTCTTTTCTTTCCTTATTTACAGTGTAGATTAGCAGTTTCAGTGCTTTGCAGTTATGGAGAATCTCCACCAAGTGAATTCACTATTAGACACAATATTTACAGAACTGTAACAAGCTCCCTTCATTCTGAGAGATTCTAGATCTTGTACACCAAAGTCACTAACAATTCACTACATTCTTTTCAAAATATATCCTCTAGTGGATGGTTGTGTGTAGCTGTCCTGCAGTCTAACATGTTATATGTTATGTGTTTATTTCTAAAACATTAAAAAAGTCTGTGTAGTACTCATTAAAATTTGAAGTTCAATATGTTTTTGCCATTCAGCTTTTCAACATGTCAAGTTTATGTAAATAACAGTCTGCTTACCTGGGAGGGAGTGATCATCACTTTGTATAGTTGTTTGCACAATAAAATCCTATGCTGCCTTCTTGTTGTTTTTTTTCTGTGCTGCCATGTAAAGTTAATAGTAGAGTCAGGGGAGGGGAAGGGAGCAGTCTTTTCCTGTTTATTGGAATAAGCTGAAGTCAGTACAGTTCTTCAGCACTGGAGTTGCTCTGGTTTCACTATATAGTGTCTGTATGAGTCTCTTGAAAATTTCAACATGAAATAAGTTAAATTCCAAACTGTGTTTTCCCTTTTTCCTCTATTCTGTTCAGAGTTAAGTGCTGGCACCCTATTAATAATTCCATTATTTTTTATTTTTGTCAGGAGACATACAACTCTAAGGTACTGATGTTCTCTCTCTCTAAAATACTGCTTAAGCATTTTCAGAGTGATTTTTACTCTTCTCTGCTTATGTTTCTCTTTATGTGCAAATAGTCATATGGCCTGCCTACAGTATAGGGTTCTTCCCCATTGCTGCATCTGTAGACTTACACTGATACAGTTTCCCGTCTATGGGAGAAATTCAGCACTAGTACATGCACTACTTACACCACTTCAGCTTGATCCAGCAAAGCAGCCATGCCTTCACAAAGCCTGCTCAATACCACCACAGCCTTTCTATTAGGTATTTGTGGTCAGCTAACTAACTGCATCGTTGCAAATGCCTCCACAGTACCCCTAGTCTTACTGGTTCCTTTGTGGTCCCTGCATTCAACCACAGTTGAGTTGGTTCCTTCACAGGATCTAGAGAATTGATGGTTAAATTCTAGATGAGTCACAGTATTTCTCTTAATTTAAAGCATAACACTTCCTAGCACTCTGGAATGCTCCCCACCCAGTGAAAACTACTCCAAAGTGCCTAGCCTCTAAATATTCAGAGAAGTACAAAGCTCCTTTTCAGATGATACCGCTCAGGCCCTTTTAAGCAGCAACATTTCTTGGTCTAAAAATACTAATTTAAACTAACACTTCATTGATGTAGCAGTGGAGGTGGGATTTATACTAAACTCAATTCTAAACTGCACTGTGTGGCTATGCTATGTTAGGAACCTTTTCACTTGTCAGAAACTAAATGCCCTGGAGTAACCCACCTGCAAAATAAGAAATAAGCAGATGGGTTTTTACTGAGGAATAGATAAGAGACCTTGTTCGAGTTATAACTTAAAACTCTTCTGTTCCCATCAGTAGAAAAAGTGGCACTTTGGTTTTGATATTGCCTTTTATCCAATACCTCCTTACTACCTGGAATGAAAATAATCCTTCTTAGTTCTTCCAAGGTTTTGGGTGGGTTTTTTTTTGGTGCAGCCTGTAAAATGGTAGTTTCTCTGCATAGTATCTGTAAAGTATTGGTCTGACGTAATCTCTGAATGGGCAAGAACATAATTACTTCAAAGCAGCCTTATTTTATAATATGCTAGCCCCATGTCATCTAGCTCTGAATTCACTGTTTGAGTTCTTATCTGATTTTTTGGTTGGTTTGTTGTGTTTTTTAAAAAATTTTACTTAGTATTGAGGAACTAAGTAATTCTTTCTGTTTCAGGCACCTGGACTCCATTTAATCCAGCAACAGTCAGGTCAATTCTTGGTGAGTATAGCTCTGTGATGTGAAATAGTCAATATACTGTTTGGTGATCTGTTTGGACAATTGAGAATACTATCAATTGCTGCACTATTTTAGATAAATAACTATGTGCAAATATTAGAATACATATACATTATGTATCTCTACTGTAATAACACCTGTTTAAAGGTCTTTCGAACTAATCCGGCTGTAGTGCTAACAAACTGGTCTTTCATTGTTAGACAATATGTTTCAATGTATGTTTTGAATTTTTTTTTCTCCATACAGCCCAGAAGTAGTAAGCTAAATTCATGTATTTTCCCTTTTGAATAACATAGGAATGCCCTTTGTGTGCACACACATGCACTTGTCAAAGTAGCCTGAGAAAATGTTACTATACAACTGAATAGATAACAAATGTCACTTATACGTGGGGAAATGGTCAGCTTAAATATTCTGAAAACGTATTACCTAGCTTGTCTTCATAACTAGTTTTTCCTGTCTTGCATTTTAGTTCTGTGTTGTGCTCCAAAAAGACCAAACAGACACTTTACAATATTTGAATTCTTTAGTGTCCTAAAATAATTTCCAGTAATGTCAAAGATGATGGTGGCAGAACATGAGAAAAATTCAAGCACAAAAAAAAAACTTTTCCATTATACAGTCCACATTTTTTGCGTGTTTTTAATAAGTATTCAGCGGTAGTCTGAGTTCCACTGTGGTGTGACATGCTTTTTGTATAAAGATGACAGTATCAGTAAGTCAAATGCAGATTAATATCCCAGGAATTTTGTCAATCAGTAGACTTAAGACTTTTTTCATGTGTCATTAGAAAAGAACAACCTCTCCTGCCCTTTTGTCACTGGATGATCAGTCAAGCCCTAAATATTTTCAAACTGGAAAATGCAAGAAAATGAAATATTTTGATTCATTCTGGTCCTCTTTTATCTGCTTTATCTTTTCCTCTTTGGATGACTACTTGGGTTTTTTCATCAGAACTTTCTAAAATATCACTTGGATATTAGCAGTTTGTTTTCTGTCTTCAGTACCTTCCACAAAGTGCTCTTGCTGCCTTCTTGAAATACTAGCAGATCTTACTGGTATGATTAAGGTTTTATATACGTTTCTTATTTTTTATTTCAGGCATGTTTGACAGAGAAAACAAAGGTGGTGTGAACTTCAATGAATTCACAGGAGTCTGGAAGTACATCTCAGATTGGCAGAATGTCTTTCGAACATATGACAGAGACAATTCTGGAATGATTGACAAAAATGAACTAAAGCAAGCACTAACAGGTTTTGGTAATTCATTTGCAATTACAGTTTTTATGACTGGGTTGTCATCAAATGAGCTGCTTATTGTTAGGGCTCTACTGCTCTGACAGATATCACTAAAAATGAGGCAGGTGAAATTCTTTTAGGTAGAAGGTACCTTTTAAAGATATCCATGCCACAAGCACTTTTTTTTAAGCTATTTCCTTTTATGAAAAAATTGAAACTGGATGTGTCAGTACACGTGTGTGGAATGTTTTCCGTCTTCCCTGTTAGGTAAATGTCTGAACTCAGAAAGTACTTGATACAACTTCCTGCTTTTTAAAATGAAGCCAGCTGTCTACGCTGTGATAACATTGTCATGGCAAAAGAACTTCAATTGTCTTCATTTATAAAAACTTGAGCTGTAGCCCTAAACCGTTCCCTCAACCAACTAGTCACTTGAATCAGTCGTTACGTTTACTGTGACTCTGTCTGTAATTATTATTAAGCAGAGTTTTTAATTCATGCATTTTAGTTTAACACCTTTGTTGTACAGTGGTAATACTTGGCAAAAAAAAAAAGTTTCTTGTAACTCCTTACTCTTTTCTGTTTTGTTATACGTGCCTGCTAAACAGCCTAGTTCTTTTTATAGAATGACTGTGGTAAGTGAAACCTTCTAAAGTGTTTCTCTTTTCCAAGGTTACCGACTGTCTGATCAATTCTATGATATCCTTATTCGGAAATTTGACAGACAGGGAAGAGGACAAGTTGCTTTTGATGACTTTATTCAGTGCTGTGTTGTTTTACAGGTAAGAAGGAGACATACTTTAATGTAAATTGAAAAAAAAAATCACCTTTTCTTAAACTTTTATGGTTCTCAATTTTATAATATTGGATCTAGAACTTGCTTATAAATAAACCATTTGAATAAAGTATATGAGAGGTATTAGAAACATCTTAATTCATTGGTCTTCAGTTGTTATCCATTCACATCACAATTAAATTTGATACAATATTTTGAGCTGTTAAATACTTTTATGGGGCAGAAAAAGGTAAAATAGTCTTTTTCAACACTATTTCTGTTTAACGGACATACCTCCTCTAGATTTTGTGTGTGTTAAAACTGGAATGTCATGTCCCATGGTGCCCACAATTCTCATACCTGAATTGTCAGGTTTTTGTTTATCTCCCTGTGTAAGGCTCTGACTAAAAGGAATTTGACCTAGCAGGTGAATTATTCAGTCTTTCATCACTGGGGTTCCTGCCAGAGCAATGGTAGTAAAAGACATTTCAAACAAACAAAACCTTTTCGGTAACAGAAATGCATGTGTGTATAAAGAGAGAGAGTAGCAGTTTTACAGGTGTATTTGTGTAGAAGTCAATCACTGGATGATTCCTTACCTCAGTGCTCAAGGTTTCCCTAAGTGACTCTGACTGTTCTGAAATGTGTGTAAGACTTTTGGGGAAAAGTTGGGAAACTGTAGCAGGGAACAAGCTAAGCTTTAGTAGGACAGGAAAAAAAGTTGCTCTTCTTACACTCTCCAGCACTGCAACAGTATCTTAAGATATCATCTTCTGATATACAACATGAAGAGAGAAAGGAGGGCCCTGCAAATGTAGTATCTCTGTTATTTGCATACAGGTGTTTTGTTCTTCCCCTTTATGTCTATACCTGTAAGTCTGCTGAAACCTCAAGTTGCCTTGATATCAATTTTTGATAGAAGCTAATTAATAGAATGATACAGTGGTTTGGAAGGGAAATTAGAGATCATCTAGTTCCAAGCCCCCTGCCAT